GCCCCGGGCTTGGCCCACAGGCAGCGTTAACGTTAAAATAAGCTCTAGCAAAGTGAAAACTGAGGAGCTCGCCTCCACATCTCCTTGATGATCCCCCTTCCTTCTAGGGGAAAAAACCAAACAAATTCTGCCTCATCGCTGTACAGGTTATAAACGTTTCAGATCTGCTTCCCATTGTGTCTTCTTTCTGGAGCAACGCTAGCTCCAGTTATAAGATGTGCGGTTGGGGAGTTATTATTCAGATATGCCTCTCAGTTCGTTTCCATAGCCCTCAGGGAGCAAATTATGTCAGTAACTCAAATCCCTCTTTAACTTCAAGGACTCTGACGATAGCAGATGAATTTCTGTGTAGCAAAGCAGCCCGACACCTAGATTTAAGTATGTAATTATCTTCCCTTACTTTACCGGGGGAGGCGAGGTGGCATGCTTGCCCGTTCCCAGCAATCGGAGGTCCTGCGTGCCCTGCCGGTCTGCACCAGAGGAGGGACAGCAGTGTCCGCCACAATGGAGCCCAGGGGCTCTATCCATCACGTTAAACTACAGCTCTCCCTCCTGTTAATTCAGTGCTTTGAGGACGCTGGGGGGATTTTTATAATTCTGTCCAGCTGAGGGCACAGGAACTTGTTTCTTTATAGCAGCCTTTAATGTTCTTGCTCATTGCAGAGCAATACTGCAAGTCTCAATGATTTGAGGGTATTACCCGTGCTCCTCAATCCAACTTAGCTGATAAAATGCTTGTCCGTTCATCCTGGCCTTAAAAAACACGAGGAGCAATTTAAATCTTAGGAATAAGTGGCAAGAATGTACCTATGGGAATATTCAAGTAAGACATTTTTTCTCAAAAGCATAAAGTCTCCCAGTTAAACTGCGGCGGTTCGGAGACGTGCCTGATACGTTGTTCTGCAATTTCTCTCAGTGCTCAGGGGTCCTTCTGTGCTTTGTTCTCTGGCTGAGATAATTCATATTCTCCTCCAAAAGCTTCTCGACTCGCTCCACTCTCTCACAGTGTTGTTGCTTGCAGCCACGGAATACAGATGATTGTTTTTATTAGGCAGTGAAAACTTATACTGTCTCGTAAACAGAAGAGGACTGGAACTGGCTGAAGAACAGCCTTTCTGCAGCTGGAAGCCTTGCTAGTTGGTTTCCCCCACAAAGAGAAAATAGTAAGAAAAATTTCATTTTGAAGGTTTTAATAAATACTTCTCACGACACTGTGTGTCTCTCATTCTTTATGCTGCTTCCTAAGATTGATACGCGTATTAGAGCAGGACGGGCTAAGCCCTAAACAGCCGCATGTGCTTCGGCGACCAGCAGAGACGCGGGC